TAACCGTCTTGCAAAAGACAACACCTTTCTCCTCCAAAGAGACAACTTCTTCCTCACTTTATCAAAGTGGTCTTAGCAAAGTGGGTTCAACTCAATTTCATATTCGTTTAGTGAAAAGGGTTTGAATTTGCCACTCAACAAAGTGGGTTCAAAGCGTACATTTGTTGAATTGTTCCAATTCAAGCAACAAGCCATCATCCACAGGAATTCAAGCAGTTTATCAAGTAAGCATTTAGCCTCATGGTAAGCATGCTAGTCATGGTAATCACTCACATTCATGCAAGTATGATAAAGCGTTAAAAACTCACCTAGTACTCCAAGCTAAGAAGATATGAGTTAGAAAAATATGCATGATTCCTAACTATGCCAAATGTCTAATGCAACGTATGCAATAATGCAACTAATAGGCTCGGCTACTTAACATGGCATATGGTTCAATTTTGATAACATGCAGTTAAACACGTATTCAACGAAGTAATTGAAGCGACAATGCAGTTAGAATGATGAATCGAGCCTCGGTGCATGTAAGACAAGATGAAATGGATGCAAGCATAAGGTATGCTAATTGAAACGTGATGATCCTAAACTAACCATCAAAAGCAATTAAGTAAAATGGAGAAAGACGTGGGGTTGGAAGACATGCACATTATTACAACATACTCTCACGGAGGAGAGTCCAAACGAATAAACTAGCTAACCAAGCCAAGCTAAGCTAATTATTACAAAAGTTGAATAAATAGCTAAACTAATTAACTAATTATTACAACACTTGAATGAATAATCAACTAACAATCTAAGCTAATTAATTAAGAAAACTAGGCTAAGCTAATTAAATATTACAACACAAACTAATTAGTTAGAACTAATTAGGCTAATTAAATATTGCAACACAATTTATTCAAAAATATGACAACAATACTAATGAAACAAATAATCACATCTAATAAGAGCATAATTGAAAATGGATGAAGGTTGCGTGCGCATCGCTTGAAAGCTACTCTACCTACTCAGGTCGTCTCTATTTCACCTTCAGCCACTGCCTCTGTGTCTACAAAATTGCACTGCTGGCCACACATCAAGGGCCGGCCGTGCATCACTAACAGCTGGCTAGGTCCACAGATGACCGGCTGTGCATCAATTTGGTGCAAAGCTCTGTTTTTGTGTTCTGAGGTGAAATCAGTGCAGATAGAGCATTCTCAAGCTCTGTTTGTCGTTCCTTCCTTCTCTGTCATGGGAAAGCCTCGAGAGAAGGTCGAAATTGATTCCAAAGCCATCAATGAGCAAAATGATTGCTTGATGGCCTCGAATGCAATTTTGGACAAAAGTCAATGAAATGCAATGAATACGACCCCCCTCCCTCTTGTCATGGAATGAACTCAAAGAGGGCGGTAGAGACGCTTCAAGAATCATCAAAACACCATGAATTAGCTCATGATGACTCTTAACTCAACAAACTTGGCATAATGCCTGGCCAAGTCTATGCAATTAAATCCATTTTCTTTATGTGCATTGATCCAATTTTAAACCAATTTGTTAGTCATTGCCATTCATTAGTCCATTTGTCCATGGTGATTAAGTCCTCTAAAAGAAGAGAAGCATCAAATGGGAAGTAATTCTCAACATGAAAGAGAGATTACACCGTTGACAATGAATCTCCATAGAGATTAAGCCATTAAGCCCAAAAATCTATGTAAGTATTTCTATCTATGTATAAATGTTTTTTATATATATTAGTTTGTATGGTGTGTTTTATGTTATAAAAAAAAAATTCGTCTAAATTTTTTGGGTATCTTTTGTATTTTATATCTTCATAATTATTTTTTTTCATTTCTAGTTGTTGTGAAACCTATATGCTTAGTGTATGTCAAAGCCCATATACTCGTTAAGATTTTTTGACTATTGGCTATAATTAAGTCTTTAAGATCATAAAGAGAGGTTTTAGGCACCAGATAATACACTAGGAGGGTCTTAGGTACCAACAACAATCTAAAATGGCAATTAATTCTGATGATATAATATGCTTTGGAAATACAAAAAATAATGTTAATAATAAATATGATCATAGTTTGCATATTACTAAGGAGTCTGCAAATATAAATAGTGTGCGTTCTAGTTTAAATAATATTACTGATATTATGTGTTCTTGGTTTTCCAAATTAGATAAAAATCAAAAAATAAATCAAAATTATCTAGAAATTAAAGTTGAGTCTATAGAATCTAAAATAGACAATTTGGGTTCTATAATAAATATTGACTTAAATAAGGAAGCAAAAAAATCAAATAAACAATTTGGTGACAAAATTAGAAACTATATCCTTCATAAACAATGATGGAATGAATAGTCCAGGAGATAGTGACATCCCTAGGCTATTTTATGGTACAGAAGATATTATGGTACTTCAAACCAATACCTATAATAGAACTGAATATGAAAATTTTGTTGAAATATTGGATTATTGGAGAAAATTATATAAAGACCCAGACTTAGGTATTGATGAAAGAAATAGGCTACTAGATCAGATAAGAGAAACTTATCTAGAAAATGAAGCCCTTTTACAACACTTTAATTATGATATTAATATGTCAACTAATGATGATGACAGCCAATCATCCTCATCTGAAGAAACAATAGATCAAGATATTTCATCAAAAATAAATAAAGGGAAAAGAAAGACAGAAGAGCCAATTGATCTCGAATTATTTGGCACATGGGGAGATATAGCGATCCTGGGTTTACCCTTGTTGTACAGTGATCCGGACATGTGTCCGTGGATGTTGGTAGTTGTTTATTATTTTGTTTACATCCTTTTTACTTCGTAATTGAGTTATAGGATGTGTTGGGCAGGTTTGTTACAGGTTGGTTGAGTTTAGAAACCAAAACTAGTTGCCCAGATTTTGGCCTGTACGCTCGAGCGGGGGTTTTACCGCTCGAGCGGAGATTATACCCATTCAGTATTTTCCTGTGCAGCGTTGTACGCTCGAGCGTGGTATTGGCCGCTCGAGCAGGGTTGTCTGAGTGAGTGGGAGTCGAGGGCTTTCATTTAATCTGAACATTTGGCAATTTGGAGCATTTTGGTCTTTGGGCACTCATCTCTGTCTTCACCATTTGGGTGTTTTTCTTCGAGGTAGGGATTTCCTACTCCATTTTTATAGGTTTTGTTCTAAGTTTTGGTATTTTGATAAGTTGGGGTTACTTTGATAATTTTGGGAAAACCCTAGTTGTTTAAATTAATTAATTTGTATAATTAATTTAAGGGAATTGAGGAACTTGGTTAAATTCATGAATTTGGGAAATTATTGATTAAATGGTGTAGTTGGATAATTTAAATCACTCGCCTATTGAATTGTTTTTATAGTTATTTCCAAGTCTAGAAATAACTGTTTGGGCTATCGGTGGAGGATAGTCGTGATTGTTGTAGACAATGCATGTGGATTAGGTATAACTGAAACTAATCACATTAGTTGAGTCATTAATTTTGACTGTTAAATTAATACAGGCATTATGTGTATTGATTGTGTGATGTATATGTTATGTGTTTACATACTTGTTTTGTGTGGGAGGAGATAGGGGATGTACTCCACGGTTTAGTGGAAGATAGGGGATGGACCTCTAAACCGGATTTTGTTTGGGAGCAGATAGGGGATGGACTCCATTAGCATCACTTTTATGTGTGCTTATTGATATTGAAGTGTTTTGTGGATACCGCACTAAAATGTGTATCAATCTGGAAGTATGAAGTGTTTTAATTTGAGCTTGAGTCTCATTTTTTTGTTGATATTGGAAGAATGTGAATATGATATATATATAATTCACTGTTGTAAGTTTGGCCAGGTTCTGAGCCATGTTGATAAAGTTGGAAAGTAAAACGTATCTTAGACAATAGTGTCATGAGGCTGTAAAATGAAGTAATTGATTATCCTGGTTAACCATATGTTGAATGCTATTACTTTATTCATTGCTTATATGTGGTTTAGTATATTTCTACTGGGCTACGGCTCACCCTTTATGGGAACATCATTTTCAGGTTCAGGTGATAAGCTACCTCCAAGGACTTAGCTTGGAAGGACTTGGACTTTGAAAACTGTTTCTAGTTATTTGTTTTATTTTATTGTTAGTACATGTAAACACTCAAGCCTAGGGCTTTATTTATATTTGAGTTAGAACTCATACTTTTGTGTCCAAGTGTTGGCTTGGAAAGATGTAAGCCGTTAGGGCATTTAATTTGATGTTACATGTAACGTTTTTGTTTAGTAAGACTCTGATGAATATTATAATGAATTATTGAAATGTTTTCTTTAAATAATGCATGTCATTGATATATATAATGGGTTAATTTGAGGGCGTGACATCTCTAATCTCATCCCTCAGCTCTTGTCTCAACTCCGTACGAACCTGTTTTGTGATCTCGGCAACAATCGATGACTAAGATCCTGACTGTGATGACTTAGATTTATCTCCATACACCATGCTCCAAGGCACATCATTGCCATAAGTACGAAAATATCCATGCCCATCTTCACCGACCACGTCGTGGAAAACACTGTCTCGAGCATCTTCGGTAGTGCCGTAATCTTCAGGCAACATGGACAATTGGCGTTCAAACTCATCCTATAAATTAAAATAACAAGTACATATAATTAGGTAGTTCAAACAAAATCAAATATAAATACAAATTTAAGGATTTGAAAATACCATGGTTTGCCTAACATCAGGGTCAGTTTGATTGCGTGTATATTTCCAAACACTCATTTTTTTCGTGGGCAACCCTTCAACAACCATCTGAAAATTCAAAAATTAATTATTATCGTAGTAATTTACATTCATATTGATATCTACCTAAATAATATATACCTTCCTTCGAATCTGAGTGAATGAAGTATGTCCTGTCGTATGATTAATATAATGAAAGGAACGACTTCCAGCATTGTGGACTGCAATGTCCTATAAAGTTTGCATAAATGTAGGTCGCAAGTATACAAAGTTAATAATTTTTCTAAAGATACGTGCTTTGTAATTAACTTATTTCATATACCTCTACTTTCTTAGTCTTCCAATAATCAACAAGATCATACCACTGTTCTGGAACAATTTGTGGAGGCACCATGTCTTTGATATTAGTATGATCCTTGTTAGGCTTAAAATACTTATTCTTGATCTTGCTTTTGTGATCCTTCCACAAGTGATTGCACTTTTTCAAGCAACGTGGTTTGTACCCCTCCGGACAAATTTGTAAATTATCCTACAGTACAATTTAAATCATTAGTTCAATTAATAATATAATCGAACAATTTAGTAAATATGCTTTTACCTTAACATCCGCCCATATTGACTCAAGAACATCAATAGGCACTTCGGTCCAATCAACGTACGTAAGAGAAACAATGTTCCCATTACGTACCATGAACCCAAGTTGGCTAGTTAACTTAGACTCATTATCTCTCGTAGGATTGAAGTTGGCGTCGAAATCAGTGGCCAACATATTGCCCGTACCCCAATCTTTAATGCCTTTCGTAAATCCTCGACCTCGGGGGGAAGATAAAGAACCTGTAGGGCATGTGAGGAGTAATGGAAAAAAAACACATATTACAAAAATTGATAATAAATAACTTGTATTTAAATTAATGTAATTAGATACATAACCATTTGTTATACTTGAGTTGGCTTGTGAATCAGTCGCCAGATTTGGAACACATTATAAGAATAAACAAACTATATCAGAATATAATAAACAACATATAAATTAAAGCATAAATTAAACACATGAAAACAAACCTGTACCTGAGGTGGGATATGAAGAAGTCATCGGTCCTAGCATATGAAATTAGAAAGTTTATGTATAGTGAAAATGAAATAATTTAATTAATATTATTTAAGTACATAACAAATTTGTATACCTGTGGTGGCCTGTGAAGACAATGTTGGTCGAGACAATTGTGATGATGGTGGTGGCTGTATCGGTGGCTGTGATGGTGGTGGTGGCTGTGATGGTGGTGGTGGCTGTATCGATGGCTGTGATGGTGGTGGTGGCTGTATCGATGGCTGTGATGGTGGTGGTGATTGTGTCTACATACGCAAAACATCAGCCATAGTGCGAGAGGGATTATTAAGCTTCCTCTTCCGTATACCTGAGGTGGGATATGAAGAAGTCATCGGTCCTAACATATGAAATTAGAAAGTTTATGTATAGTGAAAATGAAATAATTTAATTAATATAATTTAACTACGTAACAAATTTGTATACCTGTGGTGGCCTGCGAAGACAACGTTGGTTAAGACAATTGTGATGATGGTGGTGGCTGTATCAGTGGTTGTGATGGTGGTGGTGGCTGTATTGGTGGTTGTAATGGTGGTGGTGGCTATATCGGTGGCTATGATGGTGGTGGTGGTGGCTGTATCGATGGCTGTGATGGTGGTGGTGGCTGTATCAATGGCTGTGATGGTGGTGGTGATTGTGTCGGCATACGCAAAACATCAATCATAGTGCGAGAGGGATTATTAAGCTTCCTCTTCCGTGCCATAACAAGCAGTAACAAATACAATTGAAAATATAGAGAATAGTTTGGAGTTAATAATGTAAATACAAAACAAACATAATAAATAAATTGGAAGCACATAAAATTGTTAAATAAAGTAACATGCCTAATATGCAAATCATTAAAGCATTGACAATTTACTGTGTCATTACAGAATCCAAAAATTATTACAAAATATCTTAATTCTCTCTCATTTCAACATCAACAGTTTCTCCTTCTACGACTTCCCTCACCCAGCCAACTTCTTCATCACGGACCATTATATTTTCTTCTAATTGTTGACTCATATATGGCTCAGTTTCTGGATCAGTAGAATACATATCAAATAAACCCCTTTGAGACATCTTCACAACCACTTGCCAATCTGATTCTATAGGGTCTGCAACATACCAAACTTGCTCAGCTTGAATTGAAAATATAGAGAATAGTTTGGAGTTAATAATGTAAATACAAAACAAACATAATAAATAAATTGGAAGCACATAAAATTGTTAAATAAAGTAACATGCCCAAATATGCAAATCATTAAAGCATGAAAATTTACCATGTCATTACAAAATCCAAAAATTATTAGAAAATATCTTAATTCTCTCCCATTTCAACATCAACAGTTTCTCCTTCTACGACTTCCCTCACCCAGCCAACTTCTTCATCATGAACCATTATATTTTTTTCTAATTGTTGACTCATACATGGCTCTATTTCTAGATCAATAGAATACATATCAAATAAACCCCTTTGAGACATCTTCACAACCACTTGCCAATCTGATTCAATAGGGTCAGCAACATACCAAACTTGCTCAGCTTGGGATACCAAGATGAAAGGTTCATTGGTGATTTGATCATCTCGATACAACAAATGGTTGAAGTTAATCAACGTGAACTTGAAATTATCTTCTTTCTTACCCCGAACATTGTCTATCCAATCACACTTTCACAATACATACTTCATTGCATTGGTGTACTGGATTTCAATGATATCTGTCACTTGTCCATAATAGTACACAACCCCCACACGAAGATTTTTGTCCTTCCGACTTGCATAACTAATAGTATCTGCTTTCAAAGCTACACCAGAATTTTGACTGGCTCGACGGTCATCCATAGACTTGACCCGAAAATGGAACCCATTAGTTATGTAACCGGCGAACCTTCTTGCTCCGGTATGAGGACCATTTGCCAATGTATGAATCTCTTCGGAAAATGTGGCGTTATCAGCCCTTCGCAAAGTGTGAACCTATTTAAAACATGAAAGCAAATTCAAAACGTAAATCGACGTAAGTTGTAATCTATAGCTAGATTTGTCCATACATAAATGTTCTTTAAACCAAGTGTGAAAAGTTTTGAAATGTTCATTTCAGAGTTGATGATCATCAGCCCGAGGCATTTTCATCTTAAGTTCTTCAAGGTGTTTCCTATATACGTTGAAAAATTATCAGTTACAAATTAATATTAGAAATGTAATAAAAAACAAAAAAAAACTTGTCAAATATTGAGTAAGAGGGGTACCTACTTTAGGAATGGTTCAACTGCTTTCATATTGAACAAGATATATTGATGACACTGTACATAAGAAGTATGACCAAGGTTGAAAGTTGTGGTTTCACCAACAGCACGACCCATATTAGCTGCACCATTGTAGTTCCTTACAGGCCGATTCAATTTAGTTTCCACATCATTCAGATATTGAGAGCAAAAATTCATGCATTCTTTCATGAGATAACCTTTAGCCATTGAACCTTCTGGATGAGCCCGATTTCATACATATTGCTTTAAAGTAAGAAGATATCTCTCAATTGGATACATCCATCGAAATTGAATCGCTCCAGCCACCAAAGCTTCATCACCTAGGTGTATAGGCAGATGCTCCATTATATCAAAAAAAGATGGTGGAAATATTTTCTCCAAATGACAAAGTGTTAGTGCTATACGACCTTGGATATTTGCTACATCTGTTTGACGATTTACTTTGGAACACAATTGTCTGAAGAAATTACTTAATTCAATTAAGGCTTGAACAACATTCTTAGGCAACAATCCTCGTACACCCAAAGGAATAAGTTGTTGCATCAGAATATGACTATCGTGGCTCTTTAGACCCGAAATGCTTCTATCTTGTAACCGTACACGACGAGAGATATTTGATGAATACCCGTCAAGAACTCTAACATCCTTAAGCATTTTCAAGAACAAATATTTCTCATCTTTGGTCATTGTGAATTGTGCTGGTGGCAAATAAGCTTTATTCGTCCCTCTTGATTGCAAGTGTAGGGGTTTTCTAATATTCATTTCTTGCAGATCGCGCCAAGCATTGACATTATCCTTGGATTTCCCTACAACCCCCAGTATTGTCCACAATACATTGTCACACACATTCTTCCCTATATGCATCACATCAAGGTTATGTCTTATTGGACTGTGCTCCCAATATGGCAATTAAAAAATATACACTTTTTTTTTCAACTATGAGTGCGAGGTCCAGCTTTCTCCCTTTCCACTTGTCTCCTATACCTCTCTTTAAGGTCATCCAGCCTGTATTGGGTTTAGATACCCTCTAATTCTACTTGTAGCAAAATCCCTAATCCAGATAACAATCTCGGTTTGAGACTCAATTCTCGAGTACCATCAAATGATACTTTATCCTTTCGAAATTTATGACCACTAGATAGGAATCTACGATGACCTAAATATGAATGTTTCCTACCATGTTCCAACCAACACGATCTAGTTTCCTTATTGCAACATGGACATGCATATTCTCCTTTTGTGCTCCATCCTGACAAGTTCGCAGATGCTAGAAAATCACTAATTGTCCATAACAAAGTTGCATGCATTTGAAATATTTGATTTGTTGATGCATCAAATGTAGAGACACCGTCAGTCCATAGTTCCTTCAACTCCTCAATCAACGGTTGCATATACACATCAATTTTGCCACCAAGTCCTTTTGGGCCATTGATAAGTGTAGACAAAATAAAAAATTGTTGTTTCATGCACATCTATGACGGTAAGTTGTATGGAATAAGAACAACAGGCCAGGTGCTATGAACTATGTTCATCGATTTGAATGGGTTAAAACCATCAGATGCTAACCCAAGCCTTACACTTCGACAATCATCAGCAAAGTCAGTATTTTGACGGTCAAAACCTTTCCATGCAAGGGAATCAGCAGGATGTCTTAAGACACCATCATCTTGTCGTTCCTCTGCATGCCATTTCATGAGCTTGGCCATTTTCGATGACATATACAACCTCTGCAATCTTTGCTTCAAAGGGAAATACCTCATCTGTTTAAAGGGTATCTGTTTACCGCCTCCACGAGGAACATTTGAACTATCAGCTCCATTTTGTTTCCACCTAGAACTTTTGCATATGACACATTCATCAAGATTGATGTATTCATTTCAGAACAACATACAACAATTGGGGCATACATCCCACGTTTCATATGTGAAGCCGAAATCTGTAGTGATCTTTTGAGCTTTATAGTAAGAATCAAGATGTTTCGCACCCTCAGGGAAAGCTTCATTCAACAACTCAAGTAACATGGTAACAGAAGTGTCACTCTATTGATTTAGCACCTTCATATGTAAAAGTCGAACAATGAATGACAAAGATGTGAACTTCTGACAACCCGGATACAATTCACTCTGAGCATCCTGTAAAAGTTTGAAATAATTTTCAGTCTCCACATCTGGACCTAACTGTGGATCAGTTGCAAGTGGTTTTGCTACATTGGGATTAGTTGGTGCCTGTGGTTCATCACCTACAACACTTGTACTAGGAACTAAAATACCAGTAACATCGTGTATCATTCCCACCATATCATCCCTAATGTTTTCATTCACTAAGGCTTCATTATCTCGGTTACCATGCACAGAAGTATATGACTCTCCATGATTAATCCAATGTTTGTATTTGTTTAGAAAGCCATTTGAAATCAAGTGCTCTCGGACAAGATGATAGCGATTCTCGCATTTCCTACATGGACAACAAATCATCGAACTTGTAGCCCTATTGGTGTATGCAAACACTAGAAATCGATCGATCCCATTCATGTATTCTCTCGACATCCTATTGGGCAAATCAATCCAACTCTTGTCCATTTTGTTTACTTCTCCTAAATATATATTCTATATACATGAACATGCATATTAATTAACCCTAACAACAATTCTAATATTTTATACATCATAAATGCACACATTCCAACAGGTGAGCAAATATATCATGGACAAAAATGCAAACATTCCAATAGGTGAGCAAATATATCATGCGCAAAAAAATTGACATGTGTTTATGACTTGTAACCAAAGAAAGTTGTTCATTCATTAGCATTCACTTGGCTGGTCAAACAAAAGGTGAGACTGATGAGTAAAACTTTAAAATCATTTATTTGTAAAAAAAAGAAAATAGTAATGAGGGGCGCCACATTATGCAAGACAAAGAAAATAAAAAAAACTATTCTCATTCACTAAATATTATTTATCTCATGTGTATTATCTCCTTTAAGAGCCTTGTATCTTTGTTTCTCAAAAGCAAAATGCTAGTTGTGACATTTCACAATCATATCAATTCTTTTATCTAAGTTACCATTTAATGTTATGCCATTCTCACTCTGTAAAAGAGCTACAAATACAAGCTTTTGTGATTTTATGTTTTGGGAATTTTGTCTATAAAAAGTATGACCAGTTTCTAAGAATGGTAGCATTTGAATTTGAGACTAATGGTTTTCTTGTTTGATCAATTGGAGATTTGAACCACTTGATTTCTGCCACCATGAGTGGTGTCACTTGTTTCATTTGGTTTCCTGATCAGCTCAACTCTAATCTCCGCAAGCTTGCTGTCAAACTCATTCCATTCCCAAGACTCCACTTCTTTATAGTTGTCTTTGCACCGCTTACATCTCGTGGGTCTCGGCAATACCGTGCCCTTACAGTTTCTGAACTCACCCAGCAGATGTGGGACGCCAAGAACATGATGTGTGCTGCAGATCCTCATCATGGCCGCTACCTCACAGCATCAACCATGTTTTGTGGCAAAATGAGCACGAAGGAGGTCGATGAGCAAATGATTAATGTACAGAACAAGAACTCATCATACTTTGTTGAGTGGATCCCAAACAATGTTAAGTCCACTGTTTGTGACATCCCGCCGACGGGTCTGAAGATGGCTTCAACCTTTATTGGAAACTCTATTTCAATCCAATAAATGTTCAGGCGGGTCAGTGAGCAATTCACAGCTATGTTCCGCAGGAAGGCTTTCTTGCATTGGTACACTGAAGAGGGAATGGACGAGATGGAGTTCATAGAAGCTGAAAGCAACATGAATGATTTGGTCTCTAAGTACCAGCAGTATCAGGATGCAACTGCTAATGAGGATGGGGAGTATGAAGAGGAAGTGGGTTATGAGGAGGATGTTTAAAGACAACATTGCCATCTAAAATAGGGGTGTTTGGTAAATGAAATTGTGATTTTGTTGTGTTTGAATATTTCTAGTATGTGGGATTGCTTTGTTTCAATGTTGGATCCCAATCTTTCGGTTTGCTCTTTGCTTTAGCTTTGTTATTCTCACAGTTTACTGGTTTATTTTGGATTCCTGTTCTTTGGAAGTAGTATATGCTAAAATGCGTCATTATTGGCTGTTTTCTATTTCTTTGAGTGAGAATTATAGAATTTTGCAGCACAGATTGACTGTTGAACTTTTTTTTTTTTTTTTTGATCGGCAAAAAATAAACTTTATTGATGTAAGAGTCAAGCACAAAGTACAAAACAAAATACATCAATAAATAAAAGGAAGTGCAAAGCATCACAATGAGCTAAATCATCCCAACTAGGTTGGCACCAAAAAACCCATTCTATCATTTGTTAGCACTCCCAGAGTTGGTGAGAAACCAACAAGAAAACAATGAGAAAAACAGACCAAAACCACACAAATACCCAGACTGGTGGCAACCCCAAGCACACAACTGGTAGACACCACCACTACAAACATCAAGAACAGAACACACCTACAACCAAGGCCACCAAATAAGCAACCTAAGAAGCCCTCTGGAACAGCATAGGCACCTGCCATGAACTCCATTCAGACCAACAACCAAATCAAACCAAGAAGCAAAACACCCAACCAAAGCCACACTGAAGTAGACCGAAAGAAACATCAGGCTGAACTACCCAACAAATGTTGCTGCTAGTTAAGCTAACACAATAGCACCAAATCAAGGCAAACACCAGGAATAACACCAATTCAACAACCCAATAAGCACACTCAATCACCATACCTGAAGCAAGGAATTGCTCATCAACAGTAGTAGACAACTAAGGAAAACAGAACCGGTGCCTTGTAATCCAACAGAAACAGCAGCCTCATAAACCAGTAACTTGAACGGGTGCCTTGAAACCAGTAGAAACAACAACCTTATCCACAACTAACCTGCTACTAGCAGGCTAGTAGCACCAATGCAAGCTTAGTACTCTGCAGCCTGATGCTAATGCACACTCAACTGATGCCTTGTACTCCAGCAGAAACACCAGCCTTATCCACAATAGCAGACTTCAACCTTACAAACCAGCACCTGAACTGGTGTCTTGTAAACCAGCCCAGATCTGAACATTACTGAACATATGAATCTGAGCAGACTGAGCAGCTTGCAGCAACAGACCCAATTTCATCGCAGAGCTAAGCAGACCAACCAGAACAGAACTTAGCAGACCAACTGAATACCAACTCTACATAGCCACAAATCCAACTTAATTCTCTAGCAGACCTTCCACAAGACTAATCCCCAAGACTATGCATCCACAAACTCAAACACCATTCCAGAGGTGCAAGATCAGCTGACAACTTAATTAAGCAAGCTAACATTTGTATAGCCAACTAGCAGCATACATCAGTAGATCAGCATAATTCCTTGAGCTAATAATTCCTTGTGCTCATTATGCTAGCATAATCTTCACAGCGGCACATCCATAGATAGCAACTCCCAACTCCAAGCAGCCCAGCCTAGCTTCACTTTCTAGAATTGTATAGCACAGAATTAGGAGCCAAAGCTAGAACACCAGCAGAGCACAGCAGCAGAGCAGAACCAAACATTCTAATGCCCCAACAGTGCAGACTCAACAAGGCCTCAGTTCAAATGCCCCAGTCCAGAGCTAACACCAATCACAACAAATCAAAATGCTGCTGCATAGCCAATTCACAATGCTGCATAACCAGAGGAAAAACACAACTACACCAGAGAACCCCAATTCAAATAAAAATGAAACCTCAATATGAAATTCATGAGCTCATTATGCTAGCATAATCACCATCCATAGATACACGCACCCAACTTCCAGGCATGTTGCAGCTTTAATCACAGAATCAGCAGCAAACAGAATCAGCAGATTGATGAGCACTCCAGGCTAGTCTAGTATAAAATGACTTATTTTGCAATATACAAACACATATAACAACAAGCATTAAACCTCTGATGGCCTGAACTTCATCTAACAAACCACAACCAATCAAACAGAATAGAACCAACAAGCAAAACCACCAGGTGAAGACAAAACAAAACACCTAACCACTCTTCTGATGCAAACCAGTTTTAGTCTAACAGTCACCTTGGCAATCACCTTATCAGATCAACAAAACACAGATGAGCATAGAAGGCACAGAACAGATAGCCTTCCAGCAGCAAAAGCACAATCTAGTAGACAAACAAAGAGCCCAATCAAAACCACTACCAATCAGACAATACAGCAAGATCACAATCTACAGATGACCATATACCACCATAGCAGACAACATGACAGAACAACAACATAGAAACAACAGATGCCTCCTTTCCTCAAGGAAACCTAACTAGCAGAGAAACACTCCTCGAAACCTAACTACCAGCCCACCATAGCAGTCCACCAAAATCAATCAGCAAGACTTGCAGCCTTCCACTACCTATACAAAACTAGCACATAACAGTGCCCAAACTGACCAGGAAAAAACACCACCAGCAGGAACACCAGAGGACAGATAACTTGCAACCAATAAACTACACCAGCAGACCAGCACAGATAACAGCTGCAGCATCAACTCCCATTCCTAATACAGAACTGGACCTGCTGCAAGTTAAAGACTACATCATTGATAGAAAATTCAACTTTGGCTGGGGATGCCTTAACCCACAAAGCTATTCTTGCTTTGACAGTCTCACATAAAACTTCCAGATTTGGCTGAGAACCCTTAAAGACGCATTCATTTCTATGCTTCCACGTAGACCAACAGATTAACTGTTGAACTTGTCCAATACTCGCTCAGCTCTAATCGAAGCTCTGCAAATCTTATGCCCAATTAGCTACTGTATATATATATATATAGCATGCATTTGTAGTTCAATGAGCAACATGCATTCAACAGAGACCTTGAGTTGCTTGTAATTTTGTGCGTTTTGTTTAATTATTATCTGGAGGGGAAGGGATTTTCGAACCCTTCCTGATATACACAATAAGCTTCAAACTTGGCCATGAGCTTATGTTTTCCATTTTTTGCCCTTGGAAAATAGTCATTTGTTTCGACATGTGGTTTCTGCATTTAGACGATGATCATTGATAGCAGCATTTTTTGATCATTTTTAATTGAGTTTTTGCTATTTAGTTGGAAATTCTTTTGTCCTTTGGACAAAGCTGTAACAAATCTTTCTGGGTTTTGGAAGTCGGGGAACTATTTGGCCTTCAATTATAGATGTCTATCATTTACAATTCTTTTGGTCTACCAGCCATTGAATGAGAAAGTGGGAGAAGAGAACTGCAACAATGGAGAAATGAAGGTGCGTACTACCTATCATTTCTAACCCCTTTTGAAGATGATGTTTACACAATTTTCAGATTCCAGAAGAATAAATTGCTGGAAAAATTATTTGGTGTTCATGAGGCATCATGTGATGGTACTTCTCATCAGTCACAAATTCTCATGTCCTTTTAGGTTCTCCAATCACTCAATAAAAAATTGTAAATTTCACATGTTTTATCAATCACAACTTTTAAGGCATTATTTGGCGATACCCAAAATCAATCAATTACTTCTCAAATCACTGACCGTTTATCTCGTTGGCTCTTTTTAGGGCCCAGAAGATACCAATAATCCACAATTTATCCCAAACAACCCCTAAGTATTATCTATCTATTCTCATTCACACATCCAATTTTCGTACAAATCAAACACACACACAACAACACAAATTCTTGAACTGTTTTATTCTTAATGAAAAGAGTTTCAATGAATTGATGAGCAGGGAGAAACAGACGATAGAAGGCCAGAGGAGAGTAGAGGAAAGAAAAGAAAGGCTATACCTGGATGCCGGAGGGAGAACCAGAGACACGCTGTTGTTGCCGCTGCAAGAGAGACGGTGTTGCCGCTGCTATAGACGCAGTTGTTGCCACTGCTACAGACGCTGTTGTTGCCGCTGCAAGAGAGACAGAATGACGACTGGGAGAGAAGGAAGGTATGTGTGAGCAAGAGCAACAGGAAAGAAGCGGGTTGGTTACCTAGACGCTGCTGTTGCCGGTGCAAGAGAGATAGAGTGACGACTGGGTGAGAAGGAGGGAGAGAGCAGTGAGATTAGGGCTTTTTTTTTTATCTGAAGAGATAACAGAGAATTTGGGAATATCAGGAAAGAGGGAGAGTGGGAAAGGGGGCTTTGGCATGAAATTAGGAATTATTATTTGTGACGATATTAAGGTCGTCGCAAATGAAAGAGAAAAACATAAAATTTTGCGACGGATTGGCAAAAGTGCGTCGCAAAACAGGGGAAAAAAAATTGAAATCAGAAAAAAGTTTCCACGTTTAACTTACCGTCGCATATAACCTTATTTTTTGCCATGGTCTAACTTTTTCCGTCGCAAAAACTATAAATTCCATGACAGCACTTAAACCATCGCAAAAAATAAGCTTTTGAGACGGCGCTTAAACCGTCGCAAATTGTTCCGTGTCAAATGCTCCTTTTTCTTGTAGTGGGTTCATAATGTGTGATATCAATATGTATGAATTTTTTTTTTATATATTATTATTCATAAAATAATTATATTACCGATAAAAAAAAAAAAAGGCACAACTCTAACATAAATGAAAGATTTGTATTAAAAGCATGAATGGACTTGTATCATGCACACAAGATTGTACCACTATAAAAATATAATTATTTTTTACTATTCCACTAGAAAACAATTTCTTCTTTTTTTTTTCTTGTCCTGTGATATTCTCTAAGTGAAAATTCGTTTACATATGTATTTGTCGTTTATTTATTTTTTATTATAAATATAAATATAACAAAATTATCAGATTAATTTAATTT